CACACACACACACACACACACACACACACACACACACACACACACACTAGTGTTCAGGTGCCTATGGGTTACATTTCTCATTCAAACCACCAAACCAACCAGTCCAAATACCTATGCCTATGGTGTGCCATGTTGAGATTCTTCCAGAAAAAAAAAAAAAAAAAAACAAGTTCACTATTCTTTATAAATGTATCTTTTATTCTCCTGATGTCATTGTTGTCTTGGAAGCTTACTGCCCCTGATTGCTAACCTAGGCCTAGTCCTGGAAGCTTATATCCTCCTTATAATCTAATCTAGGCCTAGAATGTTTTCAGCTTCTGAGACTTACTGTTGAATAAACTCACTCTTTCCAGTTCTTTCTGAGCTCTGGATGGCTGGTTCAGCTCAGCTGTTCTGGCTCAAACTCCTCTCGAGGCTGACTGATTTAATCTGGCTTCTCTCTCAGCCTCTGAATTGCACTGCTTGGCCTCATACTAAATTTAGCAACCTGTTCTCATCTTCTGGCTCCTTCTCATTCTCTGTCTCATTCTGTCTTCACCTGTGCCTAGCTTGTTCTCTCTTCAACCTCTCTGTAAAACTGCCTCCCTATGTCTCTCATTATCTGTGTTGCTCCCTTAAGTAGCTTCCTTTTCCTCTCTTTCTTGTGAGGGTTGGGCATATCCTATTCTGTCAAATCTTTCTCCAATTCATCACTTTGTCTGCCACTCAATTAGACATCACTTTCAAACATAGGCATTTCCTTCTACAAAATTCACCTTCATTGTTTGGGATTAAAGGCGTGTGCCACCACCACACATGTGTCTGCATGCCAGCCAGATCACACAGACCTAGAAGTTCTTTGGATGTATTTCTTGCCAGAACAGCCAGCCCTGTTATGAATTAAAATTCCTCTACAATTCTTATTTCAGCCTCCATGGAACCTTAGCTCATGGACATGAGCCATCCAAGTTCTTTGCTGCAAGATAAAGATGCTGGCCTCTATTTCCAGTGCAATCCTCATTTCCGACACAGATCTCACTAATGTGGCCTTGACTGAAAAAGTTTCTTCCATCTGCACCCTGATTAGAATCAGGTAGGCAGTCCCTAACGTGTCCTGGCTCGTCACTGCTCTCTTGTCTTCTGTACTCTCACCAGAATTACCCACATTGCTCGACTGGCAACAATTTTCCTTTTAAAAAATCTAATTGTGTGTATATGTGTGTGTCAGTGTGTGCATGTAAGGCCAGAGAGGTAGTTGGGGCCCCTAGAAATAAAGTTAGTTATGAGTGGTTGTGAGCTGCCTCGTGTGGGTGCTGGGAACTCAGCCCATGTCCTCTGCAAAACCAAAAAGCATCACCACTAAGCCATCTCCCCAGCACAGTTTAGCCATTTTGTAGCTGCTTCTTCAAACTCTCCCATCCTCTGCCAGCTGCCCAGTTATATGCTAGGTACGCTTATAGCAATAGGACTCTTGGTACCCGCTTTCTTTCTCTCTTTTTTCTCTCTTTCTCTCTCTTTCTTTCTTTCTTTCTTTCTTTCTTTCTTTCTTTCTTTCTCTCTTTCTTTTTCTTTCTTTCCTTTCTCTACCCCCTCTGTCTTTCTTTTAAAAAAGCCTTTATTTATTTAAAATTTGTTTTTTAATTTATTGAAAATAGTTTTTTTGATATTGTTGTTTGTTTGATTGTTTAAGACAGGCTTTCTCTGTGTAGCCCTGACTGTCCTGGCACTCACTCTGTAGACTGGGCTGGCCCTGAACTCACAGAGATCTGCCTGCCTCTGACTCCTGAGTGCTGGGATTAAAGGTGTGCACCACCACTGCCTACTCTGAAAAGAAATTTTTTTTCTCATGTTATATATTCTAATTATGGTTTTCTTTTTTTTTTCCCAAGCCTAATGTATCCAGCTTTATTAAAGATACTTTCCATAAACAATCATGGTATTTCAGGCAGGACATGGGCAGACAATCATTAACAGTATACAAGAACTTCCAACTCCCTTCTTGTATAGACTACCAAAATCAGAAAGCCACTATAAAACCCAATGAAATCTTCATTCAATGCTTTGAAAAGGGGGAAGTAGCTTAGAGTGAGGGTTGACATTTCACATTAAGGATGTTGTTTAACAACTTTTCACAAGCCGACCCTGACTTTCAGGAAAGGAAACGAAAATTGATATGCAATCTGAAGATCCACAATTTTTTATAAAAGGAACCACCGTTCTTCTGAGGACACTCATGATGTCACTGCAAAGTCCAGATCACCCAATAGACCGGAAAACCAATTTGGGGAGGGGAGGTCAGGTTCCAGCAGGTCTCTGGTTTTAAGGGAGTTAAGTCAATGTTGACGGTACAGGGGGAGGAGAATACAAAAATGAATTTAGTTTTCCCACACCACAAGGCATTTTGTGCCATGGCGACCACATATGCCAACACCTCGATGTCCCTTCTGGGAGCCAACAGAATCTTTCAGAATTATCAGGGAAAAATGTTTTCCATCATCAATCCAGCTTGGGAGACATTTTGTTAGTGACACGTATGTTCTTTTCCCCCAAACAATGAAGTGTTCTGTGTGCTAACACCATAGCTTTAAAAAAAAAAAAGTAAAACAAAATTCTGCATTTTTATAAAACTTGATAAAAAATAGTATTTCAAACTGTACAGTCACCAGAAGTACACAGTTATCAAAAATGCACACACATCACTTGGCATCTCCAGCACCTTCAGCTTTCTGTGCCTGGTCTGTTTTGGCGTCTCCATTTTCCGCAGGATTATTTGCATCCTTACCGGCGTCAGCCTTCCCTTTCTTCCCCTTGGGTACCTTCTCTCCCTTCTTTGCAGGGGCCTTTTTAGGCTTGGGCTCTGGCTTTGGAGGAGCAGGTTTAGCAGATAACCTTGCAGATCTTCTCTGTGGCTCGTCCTTCACCTTGGCTTTATCTCCTTTAGCATCCCCTTCGGCCTTTCTTTTGGGCATGGCGACGGTGGGGGACGTCGGCGCTGGACGCGGGGGCGGGGAGAGACGGCGGCGCGCGGGCTCGGTCTGTCCGGGGGTCGCTCGCGCTGCTTCTTCACACTGCTCCCTAATTATGGTTTTCTTTCCCTCTACTCCTCCCAGTTTCTCTCCACCCCCTCCCACCCAGACCCACCCCCCTTTCTATCTCTCATTAGAAAACAAACAGGTTTCTAGGGGATAATAATAAAATATTATTATAAATATAATAAGGTAAAACAATAATAAGGTAAAATAATAACAAAATATAATAAGATTTTAAAAACCTGACATATTGGGGTTGAATAAGACAGACAGACAGAAGAAAAAGCACCTAAGAGAAGGCACACGATATCCATTCATTTGCACACTCGGGAATCCCGCAAAAACTCTAAACTGGAAGCCATAATGCATACACAGAGGACCTGGTGCAGACTTGAACAGGTTCTGTACATGCTGCCCCAGTCTCTGAAAGTTCATATGTTCTTTGATCATGTTGGTTTAGAGGGCCTTGTTTTCTTGGTGTCTTCTATCCCCTCTGGCTCTTACACTCTTTCCACCTCCTCTTCTGTGGGGTTCCCTGAGCCCTGAGGGAGGGACCCCATTTAGGACCGAGTATTCCTGTGTCTCTCATTCTCTGTGTGATGTCTGGCTGTGTGTCTGTTCTATTTGCTGCAGGAGAAAGCTTCCCTGATGATTTCCTCGAATATAGCAGAATGTCATTGGGAGTCTTTTTATGTCTACATTTTTCTGTTGTTTGCTTTGTTTTTAAGAACAGTAGTATTTGGTTTTACCCGAGGTCCCTTGGCTAGCTAATCTTTGGTTCTTGGTCACCCAGGCAGTGCTGGGTGCGGGTTCCATCACCTGGAGAGAGCCTTAAGTCAAATCAGATATTGGTTGGTTACTCCTACAAGCTTTTTACCACCATTGCCCTGGCATGTCTTGCAGGCAGGACACCATTGCAGATCAAAGGGTTCATAGCTAGGTTGGGGTTTACATTTCTCTTTTGGTAGCCTGAAGAGTACCTTCCTGTACTAAAGATGCCAGAAAGTAGGGGTGAAGGCTCTATGTAGGCACCAGCTTCACTTCTTCGTGTTCAATTAGTTGTGTGGGTATTGTCTTCAGCAGTGGGGCTTTGCTGTCCCAAGTTTGTGGAGAGCAACCTATTGTCTTGACAACTGCCTGGCTTGTTTGGGAATTCCTATGGGAGGCCTTTGGCCAACAACTCAATTAGATGTAACCCAATCCTGCTATTGGAAGCTTCTTTGGTAACAAGAAGTGGCCCGTTGGGATTCTGTCTCCCCCATTATTTGACAATTTTGTTCAGGTCCCCTTCATATATTTATATTTTTTAGGAAGCTTCTTCTTGTACTAGATTTCCATACTACCCCTCAAATGGCCCTTAATTTTTATCTGTCTCTCCCCATATTCCCTCCTTCCTTCCATTCTCTCTCCCTGCTCCCCACTTGATGCTCCTGTTTCAGCTCCCCCCCTATTTCATTCATCCATCCCTATCTTTTTCTGTTTCCCTTTTCTAATGAGATCTGCTAGTACCAGTTTTCTCTATTAGTCAGCATCCCATTACAATGATGAAATACCTAAGGCAAGAAGATGCTTTAGAAGAAATTTATTTTGTTCATGATTCTGAAAGGGCAGGTTAAGGGGCTTTCCTCTGGTGTGGGCTTCCTTGCTTCAGAGTCCTGAAGCACTAAAGGGCATCCCCATGGCAAGAAATAGGATTACTGTAACAGCAGCCGAAAGGTTGTGGGGCATTACCCCTTTGACGCCATCATCAGATCAACTTGGCCTGTAGGTATGACTGCGGGGGATTGATGTGGGAAGACTCAGCCCATTGTGGTTGGTACCATCCCCTATGCAGGTGGTCCAGAACAATAACAGGAAGGAAAAGGTTAGCTGAGAGCAACCAAGTAAGTAGGCCTGCATGTGTTTATTTCTCTCTGCTCCTGGAGGCCCTGTTTCTGAACACCACAGTTGGATTAAGTTTGTATTCTTTTAATCCTCACAATGGGGATCAGACTTCAGCATAACATTAAGCTTCAATTCAATTGCATCCAAACCACATAATTATTTCTGGCTAAGGGACTAACCTTAAAGTCAAAGGCAGAAGATCCTAGGGAGGCTACTCTAGGATTCAATGAAGTTGCCGTTCAAACAGCTAGTCGAGGGCACTCTGTAGAATGTGGCTTCTTAGGTACCATTTAAGATCACATTGGGAGACTGCATTGCAAAACTGCATGGAGTCCCGTAGCATATGGTATGTGTGGCCAATATGTGGTGCTGCTTTCCCCAAACCAGAATCCTGGGGTTGGAAGCCTGAGAGACCACTTCTTATGATGATAGCTAATGAGCCATCACGGAAGTTCCGCCGCGTGCCTTCACAAACGTTTCCATGGGTTGAAGTTCCTAGTAGCCAACAAGGGACTATCCTGTCAAAGAACAAGTGTTTGCAGCAGAGCTGGAAGCTGAGGTGGCATCTGGCTACCCATCTGTGCTGGGTTAAGAGACCCTAAAGCTTGCTGGCCGAGTAGTGCTAATATGAAGAAACAGTGTCATTCTAGACAGGTTCGGGTAGTCTGGGCTCTTTTGGCCCACCACATTGGTGATGAAAAAAGTAGTAACAGGGGTCAAGAAGTGATTCTCCTAGAAAGGAAAAACTGGGAAAGCAAAAATAGCCATGGATGATTAAAGCCATACACACACTGTGACTGATGAGCTGCAAGGATGCGTGTTCTATCACAGCGTCCGATGGAGGTTTTTTTCATGCTGTATTTTGTACATTTTACAGACTCTATCTTACTTTTTTCTTCTTCTTCCCCTCTCTTCTTATCACCACTATGTATGGGATCCTATATTCCTTTCTCCTTCCCTCTTCCATTTCTTTTCTCCTCTTTTGTGTTTTGTTTTGCTTGTTGTTTGTTTGTTCATTTGTTTTTGAAAGAGTCCAGGCTGGCCTCAGACTCAAACTCCTTTTGCTTCTGCCTCTTTGAGTGCTGGTTTTATAGACACATACTACCTTGCCCTGGATGCTGGTTAGTTTTTGTCAACTTTCCACAAACCTAGACATACCTGGGAAGAGGGAATTTCAGCTGGGGAATTACTTTCATCAGATTGCCCTGCAGGCAAGTCTGTGGGACATTTTCTTGATTGCAGATGATGTGGGGAGGGCTCAGCCCACTTGTGGGTGGTACTGCCTGTGGGTTGTATAAGAACGGAGGCTGAGCAAGACAGGAGTCACAAGCAAACTAGCGAGCAGTGCTCTGTGGTTTCTGCCTGGGTTCCTATCTCCAGGTCCTGTTCCGCTCGAGTTCCCATGTTGGCTTTTATTAATGATGGACTGTTACCCGGGCATGTAAGCCAAATAAGTCCTGTCCTCCCTGAGTCGGTTTTGGTCAGTGTCTAATCACCAAACTAGGACACCCTGTATATTTGTGTTTTCTTTAGTGTTGATTTTATAGGGCGGAGCAGAGTGAAATGACAAGAATAGAACCAACGAAGTGCAGAGACCCTGGACTTTCTGTCTCGAGGAACCAAATGCTTTCAATACTGGGGAATCTCCCTAGGGAGAAAACCCCATATGCTTTCATATGGAGTGCTTTATTTGAAGAGACAGTCCTCTTGTTTGAGGAAATGAATGTGTGGGAAAGAGGGGTCATGTGCATCAGAAACACAAGGTGGGCTTTACAGGCCTTTCTCATGTATTGGTGACAAACTGCAGCATGGCCCTGGTCTGGAGGACCTTCTCTTTCTGGGTCTGGGAGTGAGGCAGTTTCTTTCCTCAGTGAAAGTTTTCCTGTAGGATTCATTTGACTAGGTCAGTGTATTCCTTGGGACCTAGCAGCTCTGACTAACTGAATATCCAAGAACCAGTGACAGTTCTTCAGAGAAGTGGCTGTTGTCATGTTATATTGGCTACAGGAGGCAGAGTTTTAGATTCCAGCCCCCACCATGCTCTTTCAAAATCCCTTATTAGGTGACCATGAGGCCACTGTAAACATGTTAGGATTTCTCTCTTATCTTGCAACGTGGAGCCGTGAGGACCCTGTGCTTCGATAGCCCCTCCCAGGAGGTCCTTGGACTCATCCAGTCTACAGAGATAGAAAGCAGGATGGGGAGCCAGGAGCTGCAGGGTGAGCAGGGAGTCAGTGTTGAATGGGGACAGAGTTTCAGTCTGGGAAGATGGAAAGTTCTGGAGATGGATGGTGTGGGCGGGTGTTAATTCTGCTGAGCTGTGCACTTGAACTTGGTCACATGGTCAGTGTCAGGCACAGTGCACTTTACCAGCATTAGAAGAAAGAATTCTTGTTCAGACAAGGAGACCATCATGTGGCCCTTAAAGCAAAGAGCCTCACCAGCTGGTGGGAGCCAGAGAATGAGTAGCTCATGGAAGGCTCAGCCAGCCCCATGGGGATAGAGGGAAGTGAACCAAACTCACAGAGCAGAAATTCGTCCTAGCTGGCAGCCACTAAGGAGAGAAGGGACCACAAGCTCACAGCTGCAATAAATTAGGTTCTTCCAGCAGCCAGAGTGATCTCAGATGGGGGATCTTCTAGAAGCCTCTGAGTAAGGCCCAGCTGACCTGTCCTCTTGGTTTGGCCTCACAAAGGGCTGAGTGGAGAACCAGCTCTCCTCATCTGGGCCCTCATCCACAACCATAACCTAGTGGATGGCTACTTCAAGTTGCTGTTATGAGGGGACACACACACACACACACACACACACACACACACTACACCAAACACACACATACACACATACATGCACACCTCATGTGCTGTAGGCATGGCCCCTAGGGCAGTGTTCAGGGGCTGGGTTTCTGGGAAGTGGTATGACAGAACTGTGACCTAATCAGTGGATTAGTCTATGGAGGTATCCATAGTTCAGTGGCATTTGAAAAGAGAAACTAGAAAAAAAAATAAAAAAAGAAAAGAGAAACTAGAAGGTGAGGCCTGCATTGAGAAAGCCACTGTGCTGTACCCTTGAGGTAGGATAGCCTTTTTTTCTTCCCCTCCTCTCTGCTTCCTAGCCACCACAGATGTTAGCTTTACCCCACAATACAGGTGCCATGCTGTGTTCTGCCTCACTTAGGATCCCAAAACAATGAAGCCAATTGACCATAGACAGAAATCTCTGAAAACATGAGTCAAACCAAATGTTTCTGTCTTCACGTTGATTCTCTCAGGCATTTTGTCACAGTGTCAGAAACAGTGCTGCCAGGTATGTGCGCTTTGCTTCACAGCACAGAATGTGAATGGAACAGTGTGGCAGGCGAAGGACTACATCTGACCAGGGCTCCTGCCTGCCCTGTGTTGGCTTCCTCTGTCCTTCCCTATTGTGTCCTGTTCCACAGACTCGTTAAATAACCCTGGGTGTTTCCATCTGTTCTGCAGGGAGCTGTTTGCCTGGTGTCACAGTTTTGATCTAGTGTCTCCCACAGGCTCATAAACGTTTGCCTTGTGTCATGGGTTTGATCTGAAATGTCTTCCTCAGGCTCGTGTTCTGAGTGTCCCCGGATTACAGTGCTTTTATGGAGCCTGTAGGAAGTGGGGTCTGGCTAGAAGAAATAGATCATTAGGGCTGGGCTTTTGAAGGTAAACCTGCCCCCCCCCCCCCCCGTTCCAGGCTGCCTGTTGTCTGCTATTGCATTACTTTTCTCTGGGAAACATGAACAAGAAACTGGTCACCCCAGATAGGGCCATAGACAGCAGACCAAAGAAAGGATTCTACCCAAGTTTCAACTTGAGCCAATGACTTTATTTGGGGGGTGATGAGTTACTTACAAGGAGGGTGGATGACCCCAAAACAGCTTCATCACCTAAAAGTCCTGCCTCATGATAGGTGATGACCTCAAAGTGTTCTGGGGCATGGAATCCTGGCTTCAGTTAACTTTTTATATCCCAGCATCCTAACTGGGCAGGAGGGAGAAGTAGCCAAAATCCCAGGTGAAGATACAGTGACCTCTCCTCCCTAAACTAAGGAGCATTAGCAGCCCCATGGCCTTCACACTGTGCATGAAGATAGCCAAAGCCTGGCTATCACCATGTGGTTCTGCACATTTCCTTATCGTGACTGCGGAGCCAAAGTCATTGCTCCACAATGACCCAGAGGAGATTAGTTTACCTCAGCATCTAGCCTCCAGCATTTAAATAAGTCACTCTACCTTACATTCCTGCTGCCATAGACATAGCCACTCCTCCCTGCCTTCCCTGCTGTGATGGACCAGAATCTCCCTGAAGCCATGAGCCAGAATAAATCTTTCCTGTTTCTGGCAGGTATCTGGCCACAACAATGTGAAAATAACTAACACACCTGGTGGAATCTTCTCCCCCTCCTTTGCCCCACCATGTGGAAGACAAAGTTTATCTAGTCCTTTGAGGATCATGTGGAGGGCTCAGGGCCAGTCTTCATCTCTGTGGGTAATCAGGCAGCAAGCATCCTGCTAGACCCAATGGTTAGCAAACACCTGTGCTTCAGAGGGGTGTTGAATAGTTAGCACTCGTGTGTGCTTCAGGGGGACACTGAGGCACCAGCCCACCCTGGGTCCATCTGAAGAGGCTGGGTTCCTGAGGCTGGCAGGCACGGGCTCTGAGAAGCAAAGGGAGACAGTGAAGTTGTTGTACATGTTCTAGAAAGAACTGGGGATCTGTTCCAGAGTGTTCTATAAGGGACTATGAGGCTGTTGTAGAACATTCTAGAAGGACTGCAAGTCCCTCCCAGAATGGTCTAGAGGGGTTGGTGAGGCTGTTTCAGAATGTTCTGGAAGGTACTGTATGGGGGCCTGGGGATAATTCAGACAGAGGCATTCACACATGCCTCTCTTCCTGCCAATTAAATAAATAATAAATAAATGTAAAAAAAAATGCATTCCTTGCAAGCATAAGGACCGGAGTTCAATTATAGAGCCACAAAAATGCCAGACATGGTGGTGCATGCTTGTAATCTCAGTATTGGGGAGGTAGAGACAGAAAGCTCTCCGGGGCTTTCTAACCAACCCATCTAGTTTAATTGGTGAACTCCAGGCCAGTGAATGACTCTATTTTTAAGCAGGACAGCATTCCTGGGGATGACAGTTATATTGTCCCCCAACCCCTACACACACGTGTGTGTACAATATGAACATTTAAAAATACAAACATTAAAAATATGGCAAGGCTATTTTCAGAATATAGATGAGCAATGCAGCTGCTGGACATAGAGATCCAGATGTCAGGGCATTGGGGGCAGGGTGGGTGAAGCTGGCCTACCACCCACCAAGGAATGTCCAAGTGCTTTGGGAACAGAAGGGGTTTCCTGGCTGCTGGGACTAGGTTCTTCCTGACACTGTGCATGAAGAGTTCAGGGTTCCCTAAGACCAGCTATCCTGGTCTGTGGGTTCTACTGGGCAGTTGGGAACATAGGGGGCTAGAATCTTCATATCTCTGTGTTGGTGGCAGGGTGGTGTCAAATCTCATCAGAGACTAGAAGTGGGCAAAAGAGAGGAGGACACTTCCAAAGAGCCTCCTATGGAGGCCACACCTATCCTCCAGGGGCAGAGGTAACACATCCGTGGTGGGAGATGTAAATACCCCTGGACCCTGTGGTGCTGTAAGACCCCTCAGAAAAGAAGGGGGCCTACCGTGGGGTCAGGGTGTATCTGCCTTTCCGATCCAAGCCACAGTAGGAGTGAATGGCAAACCAGAGGAAGGCGCAGAGCATCATAGCATATACCTGGAGCAGGCAGGAGAGATGCCTAGGAGTCAACAGCCACCATCAGTCCTGGTGGCAGAGTCTTCCCACTTCCAGGGAAGTTTCTAGGACTGAGAAACAGAAGGCATGAGATAGATAACCAGCCTCCTCCCTGGGTCAAAGGCTGGTTCCTCCCCACTGACTGGGCCTGGAAGATCCTAGTAATGTCATGACTAAGTGTTGGTCTGGTAGCAGTAACCCGGGGACTGCCTTCTATTTAGGAAGGGGCGAGGCAGGGCAGGACAGAGGGGGACAAGGAAGGAACTGGTGGCTACCGTGAGGGCCAGGCTGATGCAGGTCAGGGTGGAGGCGATACTGTAGTGTGTCCACAGAAAGTTCCTGATGCTCTGTAGGCAGTCCTGGACAGAGGGAGCATGTGTGGTTGCCCACCCTGGCTGTCCCTCCCTGCACAGCATGCTCAGCTTCCCCCATTCCGCTTTCCTCCTAGAAGTCCCTGCAGCTTCATGGTTTGCTTAACCAGTGCTGAGGCCAGGGCAGTCACAGTAAGCACCTTCCCAAGTGGAACTGCTGAACATTCTGGGAAAGAAGTTTTATGAACCTTGAGACTAAGGGCATGGTGCCCGCCTCTGTGAGGATGGTGGCCCACTGCCTTGGGGGCCAGGTAGGACCTTCCTCCTCTGTTCTAGCTGCACTGAGCTTCTCCAGTGGGCCACTGTTTGTCCCCAGGCAGTCCAGGGTGGAAATGTACTGCTTGCAGTCCCCCAGAGGTTGCTGTTAGTGGTAAGGGCTGAGAATCTAGAGCTGCAGGTCTCTTCACTGTGGGCCTGACATCAACAGAGTCTCTCTCTAGAAACAAGGAGGTGACGGTCGGCATCTGGGACGTTCATATGGTGGCATTTTGTTAAGGATCGGCTGAAATATTTGGGGAGGGTGAGAATGGGCTGGACTCTGTGGAACCCCTAGGGTGCTCTCTTGCCTTCTGGTAAGCAAGTGGTCCTTTTGGCCCTTAATGGCCTGAGCTGCCCTTTGCTTTTTTCCCCACCAGGGGTCCTTTGCAGCCAGCTATGGTCCCTTGGCACCCTGGGACAAGAGGCAGGTGGCTGAAATATTTTGTATTTGGGACCTGAGGACAGTTCTTGGGTGGATGGGGCTCCCTGACTCTCAGCCCCTTCCCAGCAGGCCAGCTCCCATCCCTTCTGGGCCTTGAGCCATTCCCCACCCTATTGTTTCTTGGAGGGGAGCCAGACATCTCTCCCCATGAGATAGGGCTGGTTTGTTTCCAGGACAGCAAGGGGGGATGGGATCAAGAGGGGGCTGGGAAGGGAAAGAGAGCCAGGAGAAGAGAATGAGTCAAGGCTTAGCCCTCAGGACAGAAGAGCTTACTCCAGGCCCTTCTCCTGGCACTTTCTACTTTTTCTGGGTCCCCTGGGGACCCCGTCCAACTCCCCCTAAATAGCTGATCACTCCGCTATGTAGAGCCTTAGCTTTTGAGCTTCTAGAATCTTCAGAGGGGAGGGGAGGGGAGGGGAGGTTCTTGATGGCCTGGAAAAGTCTCATGAAGGAGTGGGTGGGGCACATGCCTGCTGCTAACCTAAAAAGGAGTTAGGCCTAGGGGTAGGGTCAAGCTGGCCATCCCATGAGTTTCCCTCAGTTTACTTCTCTGTGACCCCCTATCACAGGGGTGGGGTACATACCCAAGATTCTAGGGCATGTCCCAAGATGTGAGAAGCCAAAGGGGCAAAGAGGATGAAAATGTCCCTTCACAGATAGGACCTAAATGCCCAACCCTAATCTGACCTGAGCACAGATGCCTTCATCCCCCTCCTCCTCACCTCTCTCATGTCCTCCTGGCCTTGACACATGTTGGCTCCCATGCTCGACAGAAGCCCAAAAGGAGATTTCTTCCCACAACACAGAAACTACAAGACAGACCAGGAAGAAACATAGAATGGGTAGAACTGATGAGGAAACTAAGGCACCAAAGCACAAACTGGGTGATTCTGCAAATGGGACCCCTAAGAGACCAGAGCTCAGGATCACAGCTGCTGCTGGAAAAGGTGGCTTGGCCTAGTGATGGAACAGCCCAGCTCTGAGGGCCACTTGACCTCGCAGCAGGGCCCTGCTGCCTGCCTGATGGCCAAACATCTACTTCCTTGAAGAATATCCAATTTCTTCTGGAATTCAGTCCCTGATGAGCAAGGGACATTGCCCTTTTATTTTGTATTGGCATGGGGTAGCCAATCCTATTTGGGGCAGAAGGGGGATGGGTGGGAATTTAGTCATCTACCCACAATGGGACCTATGTCGTGGGATCTCCACTTGAAGCCCGGCCAGGATAACTGACTCTAGAGGATTTCTGGTACCCATTCTCTAGAGCACAGAAACTATGACCACCCTGTCCCTAGCTCACCGTGTCCTGGATGATGGCCAGTTCCTGCCACCAGTTGCTAGATGGGCTCTTCATTGCCTGATCATACACGAGGTCATAGGTATCCAACACAGCATCCTCCACCTGCACCAAGACCATCAGGAGAGAAATGGCCTGAGGGAGACCCAAGGAAGCCACGTTCTGGGCCTCCTTCTCCAGGGGGGACATTTTCTCCAGGGACTTTCCTCCTACCATGACTAATCCTGTGGCTTGCCTATTGCCCTTGTGGCTCCTAAGGGTTAAAGAAGAGGCCAGCAGAGCTTAAGCCACCCACCCTTAGTGGTGGCTTCTGGGTAGCATGGGGTAGAATCCTGGTGCTACTGGATGGCTTGGATGTAGGCAACAGGCCCAGCCTGCTGAGAAGTGTGGACAAAAGCCTGGACTAGTTCCTTGGTTCCCTAAGGTGCTTGTGGGTCTTTCTCCAGAACTACCCAGAATACTGGCAAGATAAGCTCCAAGTCTTGGACCTTGGGTAAGGTAAGGGTATCTGGGGTCAGATAAAGGTAGACAAGGAAGAGGGGGAAGAAATCTGGCCCTGCCTTGCTTCACACACAGAAAGCCTAGACTATTTTCCTTCTGTCTCCTAGCTCTGTCCCCGCCCCCTACTTAATCCCCAACTTAAGATGCCCTCCCCCAGGCCAAATATGTTTTCAGAGACAAGCTGGAATCTCATCTCTTTCAGGAATGCATCCTGGATGTGTGGGGCTCACTGGTCTCCTGATCCAGGGCAAGTCCTCCTACATCTTTCTGCCTTGAAGGCCCTGAGTCCTCCCCACTCCAGTGTCATGCCAGACCAGCAGCCAGGACACACAGAGGGTTTTCCTAAGTGGCTTGGGTAGTATTGAAGCCCCTATGTCTCCTCTAGTCACCTTTCCTTTCAGAAAGGAAGGGTATCTGTCCCACAGCCTGATGTCCTCTACTAGCCTCAGGACCAGCTGTCTGCAGGCCATAGTGGACAGGTAGGCAGTTTTAGAGGGTGATTGGTTATTGCAGCCCAGCCCAAGGCCCCTGCAGGTGCCAGGGGAACTCCGTGCTAACCACTGATCCTGGCACCGATTCCTCCCTCTCCATCTATGCAACAGAGCCAGACATCCCAATGAGTCATCCCCAGCTCAGCCGGGGCAGGTGCCAAGCTGGCCTTGGTTGCTGGTCAGTCAGTCAGGGCCAGAGCCCTCTTGTGGGCTCAGCCTGTGGGGATGCCGTGTCCTTAAGGGAACAAATCCTGGGGAGAATGCCTGGAGCTGGTCTGGAGTGGGTGGGGCAGGTGGCAGAAACAAGCAGGCCCCCTTCAACTAGCCCTTTGTGTACCACTCCCTAGCACAGTTGACTTTATTTCCCTCATCAGTCCTACCATTTTCAAGGATGTCCCAGTTGCCTAGGGGCCCTCTGTCCACTGTCATTCCTACAGGACAATAGGGATGACATCAGCTCTAGAGCTCAGCTCAGCTTGGTTCTGCCCAGCATCCCACCCCCATGTGCAGAACAACAGAGCCCTGCCTAGACCTCAGAACCTGACCTTGGGGCCTTAGAGACCAGGCTGAACTCTCTCTGCAGAGCCCAGCCCTGGGGCAGGGGTAGTACATTGCCATCTGCACTCATGTTGACATCCAAGGTGCTCGGTAAGGGACCGAGGCTGGAGATTTTCGTGGGAATAGGGAGGGTGGGCCAGAGCTTCCACAAGCCTCCACACCATTTGTTCAGGGGTCCCTTCCAGCAACGATCCATGGCTGCAGGGCTGGCAAGCAGCGTCTGGGTTACAAACTCTCCTTTGTAAGTGTTTTGTCCAGTATGGAGGATGGACGGAAGCCCTGAGTGTATGAGGTCCTGAGTGGGTATTTGTTGTCAAGGACCACAGCCTCAGACCCATGAGAGGTTGGCAAAGCCACCCACCCTGTGAGTCTCATGATTAGCTAAAGCTGCCTTCTTGTCCAGCTGTATACAATAAGCCCTGTCTCCTTGTTTATCGGTATGTAATACCCCTGCCTTCTTGTTCAGGTGTATATAATAGCTGCACTGAGCTGCGGGCAAGGAGGTTGCAGTTTGCCATCAGAGAGCTGAAAGCACCTGATCCCAGCTTTTCTGTGTGTGAGGCTGTCCTTTTCTTCATTCCTTCCCCTCCCCACCCCACCCCAATTGGTCAATCTCTTGAGTTGTGCAGAACACGGCAGCCCGAGTTATTACAGGCTGAGGACTCCTGTCCAGGGTACCCTCTGCTCTCTCCTTTTTTTAAGACCAGGATACTGTGATATCTGCCTGGGCTTGGTGACTCCCCTCCCCCATGTTTGCCAGCTCAGGAGGACTCCGTGTGGAGCTGCAGGTAGCTTGTGGACCAGCATTGGGTCCTGAGGCTATACAGACATGTCTGTTCTATGTATGGTCTTGACATGAATTATTAAGGAAAGATAAACAATTCATTTTCCACTCCTAGGGGACAGTGGGAGATTGCACAAAGGAGCTCTGCAGCCACAGTGAGGGTGTAATGAATAGCCCTGTCGCTCTGTATTCATCACATAGCAGGCTGAGCCACACTGCCATGCTCACTGACCTTGGATGCCTGCTAAGGCCTGAATCCTGGGAGGAGGACCAGGAAGGAGCATCCCACTTCAGGCCAGAGCCTGTGCCTACAGAGGTAGTCAAAGTCTCTTCCTTGTCTGACCTTCAACCTCTTGTCACAATGCCTTGGAGATCTTTCCAGGGAGGTTCAGGGGGTCTGGAGTGACTTCCAAGCATTGCCAGTTAATTCCTGTATCCTTTCTTACCCATAGGGTTGGAGACAGCTGGGAATACCAAGTCCCAGGCTCTGAGCTATTTGGCCTGGATTAGCCCACTGGTGGGAAGAACATGGGATTATGGGAAGTTGTTTGGGTGAATGTGTACATACAGGCTGTGCTTGGTACTACACTTGGCCTCATCCCAGCACAGGACAACCCAGAACTAGGTCCTCATTCCAGACAACCTGGGAGTGCAGAGAAGCTTGCCTGACCCCTGCACTGCTGGTTCACCTCCATTAGGCAGTAGCCCTCCATCAGGCCCTTCTACTTTCCATTTAAAGAACAGACACAGAGGTCCAGGGAGGAGAGGACTTGCTCGAGGCTGTCTTGCTGCCCTTGATTTCAAACCCAGGGTGTCTTCACCAAGGGTACCTGCAGGTAGCTCTCCAGGGCTCACATAGGCCCTGCTGAAATTCAAAATTCCAAGACAATAGATGGGCCAGCAGACCAGGGTCTAGGAGGAAGCTATACTCCACTGAGGTCAGGCAGGGCTTAGAGAGTTGCCCTAGTGGCCTGTCTTATGGAGATTAGAGTAATGGCCCCTTTCTTTCTCCAGATTTTAAGCCCTAGTTGCAGTCTGTTCTCTGGTCCCTGTGAGGCCCCTACCCATTCTGGACCCCAAGTTTAGGGCTCAGGATGTAAACACAGCTTTAGAACAGGGAGATGGGCTGCAGCTGCTGCAGGCGAGGCCAGTCCCTGATACCTGGCAGCTGTCTCGACTGAGGCCACCCACGGTTTGACTCAGACCTCTAGCCATCAGTGGCCAGGGAATGTTCTGTCAAAATGTTGCTTGGCCCTGCTGCCTCAGGCAGGATTCCTGGACACCCATGCCCTAAAGGTATTGTGGGGGTCCAACCCCCTTCCAGATCCTCTGGATCACAGAAAATCTTTTTGTTTTTTCCTTTAATACCAGGGTTGATACAAGCCTTTGGGAATCTCCTTGGGCAGGGAAGAAGGGTGAAGCAGAAAAACTCTGGGCAAAGAGCCTGGTTGGTCCAGGTAGAGGGCCCTGGCTGTACTCACCTGGGTGGGGTTGTAGAATCTCCAGAAGGCCACCTGCACCAAGATACAGAATGACAAGGCAAAGCACAGGAAACCCTGGGGACAGAGATGGGCTGGTCACCGTATAGCCAGGTATGTGGCCTGGGTAGACAGGGCATGGTACCCAGGGCAGCTGGGTAGTTTTGCCAGCTGGGTGGGGCTGAGGTCCAGGTTTGAGCCACCTACTGTCTGAGGGAGGCCCTTTCTGGGAATTCCTTCCCTGGGCTTTATGTGCCTCCGAGGACCTGTGACTAAGGTGTCACACTGCTTTTCCAGTACTGTGGAGACCCCTGCCCAGGCGGTGTCTCCCTGTATCTGAAATTTTAGAAGCAGAGCTTCCTACCCCACCCCTTTAATATTTTTTAAAGATTTTTAAAAAAATTTATATTCATTATATACATGTTTGGGGAGGCTGGAAGAAAGGTGTTGGATCATCCAGACCTGGAGTCACAGGTCGTTCTGTGTGGATCCTGAGCACTGAGCTTGTATCCTCTGGAAGAGCAGGCAGCCCTTCTAATTGCTGAGCCATTTCTCTGCCTCATATGCCTAACCACCCATCCTTTGAGGTAGGGTCTCATCTAGCCCAGGCTGGCCTTGAGCTCATCCTCCTCCCACCTTCCTCTCCTCAGCGCTATGATTACAGGTGTATGCAAGCACTGTTTTATTCAGCGCTGTGACTGAACCAGTGCACGCTATGTCATGCACGCTAGGCAAACACTCTATCAACTGACTCACATCCCTAGCCAGAAACTTTCCTCTTGAAAGTAGGGAATGGCGAGCTCATACAGGGTGCCTTCTGCAGGCTCTTTGTTGTTTTGTTTCTGAAACGTGTTTCCAAGGAGACCCTAACCTCTGCAGCCTGACTCATCCAGGACCACAGCCCACAAACCCTGGCATAGGTTTGACACTTCAGGCTGTGGTCTTCTCCCCTTCATGAGTTTCCTACCCTTCCTCTACACCACTACACGAGCCCCTGTGGTCACCCTACTTCCAACCCTCACCCAGAGTGCTAAAAGGGGACATCTTTACACACCCCACCCTTTTCTTCTTTAATTGGGTTATAGACTTAGTGGACAATGCACACCTCTCCCCTGACCATATACTAGAACAAGTTCTTACATTTTTGTGGATAGTTTCAGGATCACTCTAACCTAGGAACCCTAATCCTCAGTAGAGCCCACCAAAGTCCCATCTAGTGAGCTCAGATCTGGATACCCTCTGAGCCTCTGCCTGGTGCTCTTGATGGTCAGCCCCAGTACCATCCACCCAGTACACAGAAGCCCCTGTGTGACCGCTGAGCCCTCTGTATCAAACACCTCCCTACTCCAAAGTATCACTAGCATGTCGCCCAATGGATACGGCCATCTGTGGCCTGGCTACCTCAATCCAGCCTCACTCTGAGGTACTCCCCATGAAGAAAAGTGACCAGAAGGCAGAGCAACCTACAGTCACTGGCCAGGATCATAGGAACAGAGAGCACATGTTTAGGGCCAGCTTAGTTCGACCAAATGTGTGGAAAGAGCTGGGGTCACCTGCACTGGCCCTCAAACTTGGGTGGTGTGGGCTCTGCAGGATGGGGAGTCTGATCTCCTGCTTCCTCCTACCTGTTACAGAGCCTGCAGCACTGTCTAGGAGTTAGCCCAGGGCTGCCTACTGCTCTGTTCTCCCTTTGCCTTTGTCTGTTCCTCCTTCTTCCCCCTCCTGCCTTCTTCTCTCTCTTCCACCCTTTTTTCCCTTTTTCTCCTTCTCCTCCCTTCTTCTTCCCTCTGGCTGGCAGTTGAGGGGAATTGAGGGTTGCCTTCCCCATCTGGAAGCCATTCCTCAACTCTGCCTCCCAGATGAGGCTGTGAGCCCGCCCAAGAGTCCAGCCCTTTTCAAAAACCATTTCATTGCTCAAGAGGGAGTCTCTCCCTCTCCTCCCTTCCCCCTCCGTCTCCTGTGTCTGTCTCTCACTGTCTCTTTCTGTCTTTGTCTGTCTGTCTTGTCTGTCTCTGTCAGCCTGTCTCTCTCTTTGTGTGTCTGTGTGTGTAGAGAAGATCTTATGATGTGCATAGTGGAGAGAGAGGTTGGGCCTGGCCCAAATGTGACCGTTTTCTCTCTACTCATTCTAAACGAAAATAAATGAAATAAATAAACTCGTAAACAACTTGACTGCTTCTTGCAGCCAGCCAGCTCTTTCATTTCCTGTGTTGCAGAAGGCGGGGCAGGAAAGAGCAGGGGGGGGGCAGTGGGCACAGAGTCACGTTGGGGGTTGTTTCCACGCCCTGGTCCCCTTTATATGTACTTGATATCTGCTCCAATACACAGGCATATCAGGCACAACACACAGGCAGACACAGAGCCTTGGTGAACAGGGCAGGCAGAGGCAGACAGTACCCACCTGCACACAAGCCCCACAAAGGGGCTGTAACCAGTGACCCTGTGGCAGCTGAGCTGGGCCTACTATCCATGCTGGGATAGAGGATGCTGGAATTCAGCAAAGTACAGAGCCCACACTGGGCCGGGAGTGACCTTCGGAACACAGCTCGGCTTAGGAGGAGTCTGGATGTACCTTTTAGCCTAACCCACATAACAGTACCACACCAGGCCCTGAGTCTGTTAGGGAGGTGGAACTGAAGCTTCGGAAGGCCTGGATGGGTTCTAATGCTCCACATTATTTGCCCACAGATCAAGTGCCAAGCAGGACAGGGGAGGAGTTTGGGAAGGCTGCAGTGGGCTAGGCTGAGCTGGAGCTGGGCCCCTTGGCCCACCTGTTTACTGCCGGCTGCTTTACAGTCTCCTCGCTGACTATGTCGCCCCCTGGTGGCTAATGTTATAGCCGGGCGCAGGCTTCTCAGCTGCCTTCTGCATACCCTTGCCTCCATCTTGTCTTTCCTCCATGCTTCCCTCTAGCAAGCCACAAATCCTCGGGGGTCTCAGCCCATCAGCCCTGAGTGACCTCTTAACTAAGGTCCTAAATCTAGGTTATCTTGGTTTTGTGCTTACTCATGCCCAGCACTGCTCCTGCCCTACCCAGTGAGCTGCCAGGTTCTGCCTGGTTTATTACCCAAGCCCACCCAGGTCTGGTTAGTCTATGCAGCAGCTCTCGGAGGCAACTCTGCCCCTGTCTTCTGGAGACCAAGGGTCACCAGCAAATGTGCTGAGCGTGAAGACAAGGTTGTAAAGTTTCAATCTATCCAGGAAACAAAGCACCAGCCCAGGTTTCTGAGGGTTCCTGGATTCCCCTAATCACTTACAGACAGAGGTTGGGAGGCCTGTAAGCAGAGCCACAGGGATGGACTGAGATGGGAAATGAAATCTCATGCCTGGAATGGAGAGGGTAGGTAAGAGAGACCAGGGTATCAGGAAGGACCTGCCCTGGTTCAAATGACTAGGGAAGCCTGGGTCAATCAGGAACAGTTTGGCCATGGGGAAGGTCCTAGAAGATCGAATTAACCCACTGGGGTTGTGGGGGTACACTAAGGCACCCACAAGGAGAAACAGATAGAGCATCAACAAGGTCTTCTAGGGGGTCTTCCCTTCTAAGACCAAGCAAGGACAGTGGACCACTGAGTAGGAAGCCCAGGCTGCAGAAACAGCTACAGGGACTTCCTGTCTCCAGGCCTGGTTTAGTTATCAGAACCAGGCCCTGATGGTGCCTTGGAGATGACCCCAGAACTGAGAGGGCTGGCTCTCTCTTTCAGGACCCCTGCCGAACCATTGTTGGATCAGAGGAAGACAAGATGAAGCAGAGCCCTGTGAAGACTTCTAACCAACCCAGGTAAAGGTTCTTGACTGGGAGGGTCCTGATTAGGCAAGTGGAAGGTCCTAAGTGTGTAGGTTGAAGGACTCACTGGTCCATAGCCTCTGGCCTTTGCTTCTTTCTGGATACTTCTGCCAGTGTCAGGCAGCTCCCTGGACTTATCCTCTCCAGCTCTTGTCCCCGCCTGAGATCTGGGAGCTGGGGTCATCTGGCAGCACACAGATCTTACCGCAGCCATGAGGCCGTGGGCTTCCCTCACAGTGGCTATGGTGCTCAGAGCAGCGCCCAGGCTCAGTAGCCCTGCTAGGCCGATCCCCATGTAGAAAACTGTGAGAAGAGAGAGGCAGAGGGTAAGGAATCTAGCAAAGGGTCTGGGCATGGAGGTTGGATCTGAAATCTACTCTGGAGGTCACCGAGCTAGAAATGAACTTCTGCAGAGTTCCCAGAAGGCACATATCTCTGGCCCCCCAAAACGGGGGCATCCTATGGTCCTTTTCTTTCTTCCCAAGTGTGGGAAGGCAGGGAGGAGAGCAGGGGCAAGCTAGGGGGCCATACTCTTTTCCCCCATCTCTCCTGCCCTCCCTGCCTCACAGACTATCTTTAAGCCACATCCCCATACTCTAGTGACAGGTGGCAGTGTGGGGCTGTGACCTTATCAGTCCAGGCCCAGGCTTCAGGCTTCCTGCCTGGGAGAGGCCTAGTGCCTTGGAAGGCAGGGGGCCTAGGGACTGGGGCTGCCAACTTCCCATTCTGGAGCCTCATTTTCTCCCACTCTTTCCTGGGTTGGTTACCTTCCTAGGTTCCTTACATTCCTACCAGGAACACTTCTTCATCAAAGTGGCCTTGCTCTTGCGGAAGTGGGATACCCTGGCTGGCATGGCCCTAGCTGGACATTTTCTTCTCTCTGAATATGGTTTTCACTGTTGAGTCCCACAGGTCCATCTGAGTCCAACCTTAGGGGATCCCTGCCCCGAAAGCACAGATCTGGGGCCTGCTGCAGCTTGGACACTCCTCTGTGGAGGAGAGTCAGGGTAGGAGTGTCTGCTGTCACCTAAACCGCCCACCTTTGTTAGTACAACCAGGACACTGGGGTATCCCTTCCCTACCTGGACCTCTGGCCTCTGCCCAAAGCAGAGGACAGCCTCTGGACAGCCTAGGGCTGGGAGATGAGGTCGGTTCCTCCATGATACTTTTGGCTCTAGAGCTTCCCCCCTCCACTCCACAGCCATTTCTGGCTTCACTTACCCCAATAGTGCATCACTTCATAGGGGTTCTTCTCCAAGGGTACACGTCCAATGACTGTAAAGTGGTCTCCGAAGTGAGTGACAACTGCCATGGTGGCCGTAGAGAGGCCCAGCAGCTGAGAGTGAGGTGGGCTCATCATCAGAGCTTGGGAGTTGCAGAAGCCCTCCCACACCAACAGAGTGTAGGGCCTGGGATTCCGGGAACTCGAGCCTGGCTCCCTCTAGCTTCCCAGGCGCATTGGAGCAAGGCAGCTGCAGGAGGCCTACTTGTTTCAGTGGGTGGGGGACAGGTCCTCTCATCCACAGGACACCCCACCACACACACACAGATAAGTAAGCAACACATGCTTATGCCCATTTTCTCCTAGGACCAAGAAGCTCACATCAAACTTGTCTGCAGAGGCGCTGCAGTCCCCATCCTCTCCCTGGATCCCAGGCAGCACCCCTTCCTGGCAGTCGCTGTACACTCTAAGTCACCTGCCAACCTAGGTCCTCCCAGGCTCCTCACTGACCCTTGGGGTGACAGCTGCATCTACAAGGACATCATGTACAGATGTCCACAGTCCTCTGAGGGTGGCCACCAAGGACCCAGAAGAGTCTGCAGGACTGCGGTGGTGGGGCGGACGGGGAGGAGGCCTGGGCACGGTGAATTACTCCCTCTGCTGCTCACCTACCCACCCGCTCCTTCTGCCCCACTTGCATGTTACCAAGACCAAGAAGTTGGTGATGAGTATCTGGCTTTTGGCAATCTTGATTCGATTCCAGTGCCCCATGGAACTTGGCTCCTCTCCTCTCTTCTCTCTTCACTTTCTTCTTCCTTCCTTTCCCCAACCCTCCCCTCCCCTCCCCTCCCTTCTTGTCTACTCCCCTCCCTTCTGTGGTTCCCCACTGGGTGGGGACCTCAGACCACAGCTGACACAGTAGGTAGGCTGAGTCCTCCCATCTGTCAACAGCCCTTGTAATCTAATGGCTGGGTTGGGGGAAGGAAGATGGGCAGGCAGGAAGGGGCCCAGCTTCTATACCTACTGCTACCCTGGCCTGGCCCAAGACAACTGAGCTTTTGAAGGCATAAGAGGCCTGGAGGTGGGCTGGGCCACACTGGGGAAGTGGGGTGGAGACTTGAGGGGAGCAGGAAGAGGAGGGCCCAATGCCTGGCATTGCTTATAAGGGTGTAATAACTTGCTACTAACCTATAACTGCCCAGCTTCATAAAAACATCCAGTGTTTGGATTAGACCCTAGGTCCCAACGTCCTCCTGGGATTAATCCTCAAACAGGACTCCTACAGGTGTTGCCTGTGTCTCCTGACCTGATGCCACTGGCCAATTCATAATCAGCACAGAGGGGGAGGGTGTGATAGAGTTAAGTCTCAGGACTGGGCAAACAGCCATACCACCTATGTAGGAGTTTCAAGATGGGGGAAGTTTATGGGTATTTGGCCCTTGGTGGGCTAGCCGTGAAAGAAAACAAACAAACAAACCAACGATGTTTCTCACAACCAGCACCTGGGAGGCAGGTAAATTATACCAAGTTAGGGGATAACACACATAGTGAGACCCTGGCTCAAAATAAATAGGGTGGGGAGATGGCTCAGTGGAAGCATTTGCCCCGCAAGCATAAGGACCTGAGGTTGGATTCCCCAGAACCTATGTTAAAGAGGTCAGGTGTGACCGTCCATGCTTGTAATTCCAGCGCTGTGGAGGCAGAGACAAGATGGTTCCTGGACTTACTGGCCAGCCAGCCTAGCTCTTCAGCATCTCCAGGCCTGTGAGAGATCCTGTCTCGTCAACAAATTGAGTGGGCCTCTAGGAAAGGACACCTGAGGTTGACATGCCTCTATCCCAATCCCGCCCCAGGAACACACAATGATAAAGAACCCAGCTGAAATGCTGTCAACCACCTTTTGAAAAGGAAACAAGTGTTTGCTTACTTCAAATATTGAGGCCCCACAGGAGGGCCTGTGCCTCGTGCCCATAGTGCTTTCTGTTAAAACATGTGTCTGCAATAATACAGAATGACAAAAGCCACGGACCACACAGTACTTCAAATTCAAATACGTGTGTGCCATGCGAAATGGGCTTCGGAGTCCATGGTGTGCCTGGCCATAACATGAGTGTCTGCCATAAAACATGGTGAAATCTGGGCCTGTCCAAATATCTGATGCTGTTTCTAGGTGCTCTAGCAAAGAGGGAATGGCTCTTCTTTCACATCCTTTAATGTAGGGTCCTCCTGGCCAGAGGGCACCTTAGTAGGAAAAACAGGTAACTGTGGAAGTAACCCCTGGGCATTCTAGAAGCCAGTGAAATTGGGCTCTGTGTTGCCTACCAGTGTTGTGTTGGTGCTGGGAAGATGACCAAGTGGCCACCCATTCAGCAAGGCTGACACTGGAGCCTTCTGCAGTCCCCTCTTTTCTCCTCCTTCCCAAGGGCCTCTTCCAGAGCTCCGGGTGGCTCCTCTGCAGCACTCATCTCCCAGAGTTCCTGACCTAAGGCTGTAGGGCAGGTGAGGTGGGACCACTCAGGGTAGAATCCATGGCCCAGCAGGCAAGCAGCCCAAGCAAAGCCCAGGGGGTGACCAGTGTGCCAGGCCACCTGCAGCAGAGTCTTTAGCTTGCTCACCACCTGGTTTTGCTCACTTCTCAACCACCCTTCTCCACCCGAATGGAAGGAAGAGCCAGGCAGCCTGCTGAGCCCAAGATGGGCCTGGAATCACCTAGAATCTCCTCCCCAATTACTTTGTGCAAGGAGAAGAGAATGGAGCCAGGTGCTTCGCTCAGGTTACCTCACTTTGTCTTCTCAAAATGGTAGCGACCCCAGGCCTGTCCCTCCAACACCAGGTCTCACCACCTTCTCTTCCCTGAGCCTGCTAGTAGCACCAGGGAGCCATGAGCTGCAGGACCACCTAGCAAGGTACCCTCCTGGATGCCTTTGCCTCTCACCCTTCAGCTCTTGACACCCCCTGTAGGAGGAAGTGGTAAGTGAAAGGAAGCTACTGGGTTTCCTAAGGCCTACCTCAGAGCACCCTGGGGTATGACTCATTCCCAATAGAGGGCAGTACTGTCCCTCTGAAGTCACGAAGGAACTCTAAAGAAATGGCCCAGAGATCTGATTTGGCCCTACCATAGACAGACCCTGTCCTGAGGCCAGGCCCATTGCCGGCTTTCCATTTCTCCATGATGCTGTGTGTGTGTGTGTGTGTGTGTGTGTGTGTGTGTGTGTGTGTGTGT